AGGCTCTCTGTAGATGTAGGTGTATTGAAAATCAGTGTCCAATCTTAATCTCCACTCATCTGTAATAAGCAGAGTGCTCTACTAAAGCTGCCACTGTTCCAAGGTGTATATTGTCTGCAACATGCTAAATGTGCTATCTTGTGTGCTGCAGTGAGCAGGATGCAAAAGGGGGTCTTCTGCCATAATCCTATTTCATAAAGCCTTCGAGTAGGTGTACACTGTGTAACTCGGGTTCCAATCACAGCGTACAGCTGACACGAGGACTATGAAATTGTAGCAGTCCTGTGTCTCCATGCTGGAAGCAACAAATAACGATCTTCATCCATCATTGTGGATCTTGTTTGACCTTATATAGGTCTTCTCAGCATGGATCCAGTGTCCTGAAACTGTTTCTTTAAACTATGGATGACACTAGGCATTACATTGAGCTGTGTAGTCATTTGTGCTTGTGATTGTCCTGTCTCCAGTCTACTGACAATTCCTCATCTCATTTCATCATCCATATGTTAATTAGTACTCATTTTACCTGATACTTCATAAAATTTACCCAACTGTTACAAGAAACATGGCAGATGTTGAGAAGTGTCAGCACACAAATCGTCAAACACCCTCGTACAGTTATATCTCCTCCACAGTCACATCTCTGCAAACACGCACATTTACGCTTGTGTATTTGATTCTGAATATTTGCATAATTAGTACCTTTGTTTCAATACTTTTCTAAAAACTGAGATAATTGTCAAATTCTCTTTAATTTTTCTCCTGAGTGTATATACCCCGCACAAATATATATGTATTGAAAAAAACTCATATGTTTCTTTTTAATTGGCAAATTCTTAGCCTTGGTATGTATTACTCAGTTGCTTAATGTATGTTGAGTTCATAGTTTTAACTGAGAATTAAAATACTAGAGTTTCATTAATAAAGCTCCCAGAAGTATATGTTAGTATTAAAGAGAAAGCCTGGGAAATGCAATTTTTTTTAAAAGAAAGCTCAGAAATCTTGCTGTAAATCATATTTCTGTACAAAAGATTTCAATTTTATATATTATAAAATTCATATCGTTTGACCAGATTCTATTTTCGAAATTGTTACCTCTGTAAGAATTGTGTTTGTTGAAAATATCCATTTACAAATTTTACTTTAGAACATAAGACATATACAAAACAATGAGGAATTTGCTTCTCATCTTATGGGAGAACAATCTGCATCGTCAGCTTTAGTATTATCCAAGTTTCTCATTGATTGATTACAGTTGTATATGTAAATCACGAGTCACGTAGTACATCAATATGGTATTAAAATTCTTCTGAAATTTGACGTATCATACCTGCTGTAAAGTGTGTAACCATTGCCTTTTATAATTTCGTAAAGGAATTCCATAGTTAAAATATGGAACAGGGGATGGCCTAGTGAAAAAATGCTCTTTATCTGCAGTTTGCCTGATTCTGCACTGTAAAAAAAAAAAAAAAAAAAAAAAAAAAAAAAAAAAAAAACTAAGAAGCATTTGCATATTGCTATGCAAATATAAAGGAACACCTTTCATTTGTATGATGCAGTTGCCATATTAAACACGTCTTTTAATTGTACCTGAATTTCATTCTGCAGTATAATCAGAGACATGGATACTTCAAAATGGAGCACACAGAAGAGCTTTTGCTGTTCCAGTTATATTTTGGATAGTTCTTAGTATTCATGAAAAACCAACTGGCATTCAAAGAGGTTTGGTAGTACAGGTACACACTATCAGAGTTCCAAGGATATAGATAAGCAGAATGTAAAGCAGCTACAGAACTCAAAATCCTTCATGGATATCACTTCTGAATGCATGTTATCAGATATAACAACTTGTCTGGCAACAGTACTGAGTAGTGATGAGGTAAATATTGTTATAATGCACTCATAAGGAGAATATGGATATAATATTAATAACCTGAACCATGGAACAATAGTGTGAAGTTGTTTCAGTACAGAATGATACAGGGAGCATTTCTCTGGACATTTGGGAAAAAATTGTTAAATACTACACATATTCAAAATGTGTTGGTGAAACAGTTACACCCTTTCTCCATAGCCTTTACTTGTTTTAAAATACAGTTTATGAGGATCATCCAGAAGATAAGTTGCTCACAGCCCATAAAATGAAACAAAACATAATTACCTGGAAAGTTTTGTTGTAAAAGATACAGCAATATTTCAGTTACGTTTCAGCATAAGAACGATTGGAATTGTAACATTTGTCACATCGTGGGATAAGTGTTTGTGGTCCAGTGCCGTAGAAGTCTGCTGTCTCTGAGAAATGAGCCTGTGTAGAGTTGTCTGCATATCATTGTGGGAAACTGATGCCCAGACAGGAATTTCTTTATGTGCAAGAACAGGTGGTAGCCACTGGAAGCAAGATCGTGACTATAGGGTGGATGGTCAAACACCTCCCACCAAATTCTCTGTAGCACATTTTTTATCTAATTACCAGCATTGAGCATGCAGTGCCTCTTTTTTTTTTTTTTTTTTTTTCTGAATGGCTTGTCACAAGTTCTGAGATGTTGCACAGCAACATTCAACGTAGCACCCATCAGCAAGAAGTCAACGAGCAAAATGCCTTTCCTGTCTGAGAAGACCATGGATATCAATTTCAGTGTGGATGCAGTCTGCTTGAATTTGACCGACTTGGAGATCCTAATGTGACACCTATGCATCAACTGTTGCTGGGTTTCTGGCATGAAGTGAGCAATCCACATCTCATCACATGTAATGATCCTGTTGAGGTACTTATTACCTTCATCGTGGTATCACTGCCCAAAAGTCAATAGTGCTCCCATGCATTTTGTTTGTTGTTCAGTTGTAAGGTTCTTTGACACCTACCTAGCACACAATTTCTGGAAAAACAGGTGTTTAGTGACAATTTCATGATATCTAATGATAAATGGCTATCGAGTTCCGTAACTGCAAAGCGACGATTACACAGAATGTACTGCCGCACTCGCTCCATAAGGCCATCATTGATGAGGGCTGGCTGGCTGCAGTGCTGTTCATAATGGACATTTTGCCCTTCTTTGAAAGCATCCCGACGGCATAGATGAACCATGTGTTTGCTCATCACATCCGGTCCATACACTTAACGTGACTGATAATGGATTTCAATCGGTGCTACCTTATGGGCAGTCAAAAACTCATGGTCTTCATCTCACAGTTGATAGGAGTAGAAATAAGAGGTGACACTTTTGCGCACTACTACAATGTTAATGTAAGCAATCGGGAAATTGCAACTACTGCATACGATAACCACATCCACAAATTACCCGGCTTGTGCCTTCATGATTTCATCCTTTTGCAGTACCATCTCTTGGCAATGTGGGAAGCTTATTTTTTTTATGTCCCTTGTATTTCAACAAGGCAACGAATTGCCCTACTAGAATCTAGACATGGCTTTATCAACAATCATTAAGTCATCATGGGGTAAGCAGTTTTCAGTATGAAGATGGGAGGTGCAGTTATCAAAAATCAAACACATCTGTTTTCTATGAAAATTTTTTATTCAGCATTTTAAAGATTTCATTCATTATCTATACTTTTGAATGGCAATCATTTTTGACAGGTAAACTTTTGGCGTTTTTTTCAGCAGCAAACTTGTTTAGATTTTTATAAAAAAATATTTTAATTATTCATTATACACAGAGAGTTGTCATAAAAATGCATAATTTTTTTATGCATTGTATGATAAAATAGGTTTGTTTCATAAAGTAGTTGATAAAATAATTTCATTCACAACTGGAAATATTGCTTTCTTCGTAGTAATATAATTTTTTTTCCAGAAAATTTCTTGACAAGCTGATACACTTTCTCCAAAAGCAGACCTTTTTCACTATATGTGTTATTGTATTGTTTGAAGTGATAAAACGAAACATTGATTGCTTAAGTTCATTTTCATTTATCAAGTTCCTTTGTCTTTCCTTATTCCGTACATCTACGTTTGTTTAACTTGTTTGTTCACAAACAGGTTTAAACCAAAGCAAATTTGCTTACTTCTATATGAATAAAGTCTAAATTTTACAACTGTAATTTTTAATAATCATTCATGGCTTATTTTTTCTTTCTTTCTTTCTTTATTTTTTAAAGTCACTTCCACTTATTAAACTAAAATTCCGTTTAAATAGCACTAATGTTCCAGTTGATCTGTAGCAGATTACATGTTTAAGAATAAGTTGTGCTATTTGCATTTCTGTTGTCTTCTTGAAAGGTGTTTAAGAACTATTTATGTAAGTGTGCATTATGCATGGTTACTGAATTTTATATTTGTTCTCAAATGGGTAAAGGAAAGTGTTGAGGTGGATTGGCTGCTTGCACTGAGGAAACAATATTGTGATCGGGTATAAAATATTCACTTATGCTTACACCTGCTTCACAAAAGGAGCTGAATTCAATGATAGAGACTTACACATGCAGGGAAGTATTAGGTATCTTGTAGTCCTGCCATATAGTTGGTGATGTAGGAAGATGGTATGAGGTGGTACCGGCACATTATGGCTGGATACTGGCCTAAAATGTTGCAGCTACATTTAACATGAGATATGTTACCCACTTCCATGTTAAGTGTTATTCACATATTAGAGTAAAAGTACTAACACCAAAATATTCTCCTTCTGGAATGTTTCACAAGTTTTTTTTTTTTTTTTTGAAGGCTGGTGTATGTTTTCTAAACGTTCTTGAGTGATTGGATTTGCCAAATGGTCATGATGGGACCGTTATTCTTAGTCAAAATTATAATAAATTGTGATATTATTTTTTATAATTATTTTATTCAATTTGTTTATAATATTAAGTATTAGCCAAAATTTATTTGAATCATCTTAATTTATGTCTATATAGTAAACATTTACTAATTCTTGACAAAAAGTAGAATAATGGGGAGCAAATGTATATATAGATATATAAGCTATTCAAGTTGTTGTTTTCCTGTTTACTTGTAACAGTCATTTTTAATGTCAAGTTTTCATCTTTAGATCAAGCTCATCTCGTTCACACTCGATCTCAAGGACACCTTCAGCATCAAGATCTCGATCATACTCTCGAAGCTTGAGCATGGATAGTGTGTCTTCGGCATCTAGCAGCATTACACGTTCATCTTCTGGTTCTAGATCAGAAAGCAAACGTCATACGCATATCTCTGCTTTCCGGAAACGTAAGTATAGTGAAACGCATTTTGAAGATCAGTTTCATTCTTTATAATTATATGAATAAATGTAAACTGAAAACTTTCCAAACATCTGTTTTTGCTTCCTTTGTAGTGCATTATTCTTTAAATTTCCATTGAATAATACACTTTTCAATTCAGATCTTATGTTCTTGGTAATCAAAAACAATCACATTATGTAAATTGTACTGTTATATGTAAATTAGTAAATATATATTGGTTAGCCCATTTCATTTTGGCATTTTGCGTTGCTTTACTATAAATGTTAGTTCACTTTTAAACTGTTGCCAACAAATATTATCGCTCTGTGTTATATTTAAATAAATTAAATAATGAAGAATTTGCATAAATGTATGTATGTTTTTTGCATTGTAAGAAAAGAACGGTACCTAGAGCCATCAAATTATAAAATAACGTAATCATCCACTGAGTATGGGCATCCAGAAGCCATAATTTGGAATTTGAAATTTGTTTTATTATTAATTTCATACAAAGTGCGATTCAAAAGTTTCAAGACTTACCTCAGAACTAGAAATTTATTGGACATTTAAGTACATCGGACTAAAATTCTTCAAAATATGATCCTTCAACATCAACACAGCGCTGCCCTGTGCCTTCCGCTGTTCGTATCCCTTTTGGAAGGCCTCAGGTGTCATGCTGTCAAGGGCTCTCGTCGAAGCCGGCTGGATGGTGTCGAATCGCTTGTCTTGATTCGGGGGAAGAGGGAAAAGTCACTTGGAGCCAAGTCGGGGCTGTAGGGTGGCTGCGGCAGTGTTGTCACGTAGAACTTTTGGCGACAGCGAGCGTCATGTGATCAGGCGCTCTGGATTCGATTCCTCAAGCGGCGGAGCACTCCAGCGTAAAAGTGACCTGTGACATTCTGTCCATGAGCAACAAACTCCTTGTGAATCACTCCTTTACCATAAAAAAAAACAGTCAGCATGCACTTCGCACGCGACTTGCTCATGCGTGCTTTCATGGGCTTCAGCGAGGAAGCAATGTGCCATTCTTTGCTTTGACACTTCGACTCAGGATTGTATTCGTAGGCCCAGGTCTCATCACCAGTAACCACTTTCTCTAGAAGGTTCAGATCAACATTCAACCGTTTGGGCATTTCCTGGCAAACAGTCATGCGGCGTTTCTTCTGATCCAACGACAAAAATTTTGGCTCCAGTTTGGCACACACTTTTCGCATCATCAAATTCTCCGTCACGATCCTCCACATCGAACTGACTGAGCTCCAGTTCATCGGCAGTTAATCTAGTACTAAGACGATGGTCAGTGTTTAAAAGTTCCCGTTGTCTCTCTGCATTTTGATACATTCAGCTTGTGATGATGGCCTCCCAGAGCGGTCGTCGTCTTCAACATTCCCGCGACCATCTTTGAAACGTTTGTGCTACGTGAAAACCATTGCACTGGACATGGCTTCTTCCTTAAAGATTTCTTGAATCATACTGAGAGTCTCTGTGGTAGTTTCGTTCAGTCGCATGTGAAACTTAATTGCATAACTTTGCTCCATTTTCGCCTCTCCCACTTTTCGACCGAGGTCGATGACACGCACTCACGCTGCAAACGATGCTCGCTCTCGAGGGTTCCGGAAGCAACTGCTGCAGCATCATTTCTTTCCCTGAAACCTCCCACTTGGCGGAACCAGTTCGCGCACGCTCCCCTACTCAGAAATGAACCGGTCTTGAAACTTCTGATTCACACCTTGTATTTTGTAACATTTAACGAATTTTTATTAACAAACTGAACAATTTCAAAGCAAGCAATGGCAACACTATACGAAAGGAAAACATTTTTGTCTCCAGCGCACGAGACTGTATTGGAAATTGTAAAGATATGCTCATTTAAAAAGTATTTTGAGATATTGCTGAGGAATTGAATTTTATCCTTTAGTGCAGAGAACACACAAAACCTTTGGGCGTAATATAAAATCTAAAAAATTTCAGATTTTTTTATAATATATTCTTAAAAAAATATCTGTGCATCAGTTATACAAAAGTCCAAGAGTAATTTATGTGTCTGTGTACTTAAATTACTCATTCCTTTTATCATTATTCACACATTCCAAGACTCATGGTTATGGAGATGATAGAATGTATATGCTTATTGAATCCTAAATTTGGAAAATTGTGTACAACAATAAACTAAACTAGAACTTTGCACAAAATTCATGGAGGTAAAATTGCCCAAAATAATTAAGGAATTAATATTTTTGTCAAAAATTTTCTCTGGAAAGGGCAGGGAATTTCATATGGCGATCTCCAAAATTTTTGTGCCATCGTTGGAAGCAATAACTTTCTTGGTGAATTATGTATTGCATCCGCATCCTACGGGCAGCTGGCCAGTTTTCACAGCTCCAATCGGATTTTCCTTTAGAAAGGCAAAGCAAGTTTCCAGTAGCCTCGAAAGTCGAGAAACGTGCAGTGCATGCCGAACGAAAGAAAATACCTTCCCATTCTTGTATAAAACAATATATGTTTAGTCTTAGTATATGGTACACATGAGATTTACGTACATTATGATGAGCAGTAAACCAGATGTTTATGATGTGCGGTAAATAGGTCATTTTAGTGTTGGTGGCAATTTTCAAAATCATGACAACGCCATATACTAGGATTTTACCACAAAATCTTTTAAACCCCTTTTTTCCCCCTTCTTTTTAATAAATACCTTGTCATTTTGGAGTAAAATAATAAAAAAAAATAGTAACTAGATATCTAGCCTAACTATTTAACGTAACTATATTCAACAAAATATCGTTGATTATTGTAAATCAATTTTTAATCTTTAAGTAAACATTATTTTAATGTTATTCATATCATTTAACGTGTTTTCCTTCTAAATTTATTTATTATTAGCTAATAATACTTTCAATACAGGCAATGTTCTCTGGCATACTCCTGAAACTAATTCTAGCAATATGATAACATACCATCATGAAATTTTATGCGCATATTTTTTGCTTATGTATGCTGCTAAATAAACATAAAATACCTGAATTTATTTTTAAATGTTGTTAAATAGATTTCTTTCTTTCATTTAGCTAAAAAATGTCTGCAAAAAACACTTCAAAATCCAAATTGGGCAGGTTCTAATCTCAATCATCAGTGGAGAAAACAACTCCTATTATAGTTATAATAGTAATGCTTTGGGGATAATATATATATATATATATTGTGTGAAATTGATTATGCAGTAAACTTGATAGCACGTTTAGTAAAGAGCACAGAAGAAGAAAAAGGGGGGGGAAGTTAATGGATATTTTAAACACAGAAAGAAACGGCCTTTCCAAAACTGCAGATATGTGAAGAAACATAAGCATAATTTCATGTATGATCTTTTGCAAAATGTAAAATTTTCTAAAAAGTTACATGTTTGTAAAGTATGGAATGTTTGATTAGAGTAGTTACATATTTAAATGTAAAGAGTAAATGAAAAGTGGAAGCGATTGGTTTGATATATCTCAATAACTTTAAGGAAGAGCATTTTAGTGTATTTTCATATCCTAAACATTAACTAAATCATAAAATAAATATTTAATTGTCTTAATTTTTTTCCCAGACTTCACTCTGTCAGAGGAAATTTTTTTTAACTACTACTATATATGCTTTATTTTAGTTTAAAGAAGGAATTTGTTCTCTAAAAAATAAATTTTAAAAAAATTGTAGAATTGGGTTTTATTAGGTTATAATATCTTATTAGGCCTTGTAAATTTTACTTTGCTTGAGGTTTTATCATTTTGAATAGTCTCATTCAGTTACATAGGCTTCATAAAAGCATAAATTCCAGTTAATGCCATTTCATGGACAAATTTTGTATATATTACATTGTTTTTTCCTGATCTGCTTCAAAGCATCTAATTTACTTCTTCCCATAAAAAAATATAATTAGTCTATGTTAAATATATTTCTTGGCTTTAAAAGATACATCCTTATATATTTAATGTTGATTATATTTTTTACACAGTTTTATACAGAAAGCACTTATCATCTGTCTTTGCATTTATTGTATGGTGTAATCATATAGTATTTGATAAAGCTATAAGTTTGTTTTATTTTCTATATTTGATAAAGCTATATGCCAGTACAAACTCCCAACTCTGTAGATCAATGCTGAATCATATTTTTCGTTTTTTAATATTGGTAGCATTCATTGTAATTTTCTTCATGAAGCCAGTTCTGTATGTATAACACAGTCATGATATAGGCTTGATTGAATTTGATTGAGAAGTGATTGAATTTGATTAGAAATAATTATAACTATTTTCCTTTACTTCTGCATTTATAATGCAGATAGTTATTCATATTGAGGATAATGTTCAAACACTGGTTATTCTAATTGTATATATGCTGTTCTGTATGAACATCGTCATGAGATTCATGCTTAATTGAAGTTAACTACCATATAAGAAAATGGATTGGATTTAATAGGTTATTCTAAAGCACACTTGATTTCATGGAGGACTCTGTAAGAAAATCAGCTCTTGCTGATGTTACATGTAGATAAAACCACTATATGTGAAAAATCAATGAGTGATCTAGCATCTCGTTAACAAACTGTCCATATTCAAATGTACTGGCATCAAATTTCATGCTAATTACAGATGTTCTTACCATTTGCGGTGGTTGACAAGAATGTTCCATCACAGAATAAAATAGGTATAAGTAGAAAGTATTCTATAGCTGGTTAAAGAACATTGAAATTTTTAGACAGCTAATTTGGAATTGTGTGTCTTAGGAGTTTTTGTGTGCATGTTAGGAAAATGAAAAGATAGCACACATTAACTGTAAAAGTAATGTGTGTTGTAAACTCCTATGTGGAATAAGGAAATATGCTTCCCCCCCCTTTTTTTTTCCCACATTGAAAAGATACTGGAAACCTTTTAAAATAATTGCATGAGATTAAAAAGTTATTTTTAATTCATGTACTGTTTAATTCAGAAGCTTACTTAAAGATGCCAAAGCTGATAGAGAGTTTTACCCACTGTTTCTGAGTTTAAACTGGAAAAGATGCTGTTACGTACCATACAGCAAAGATATCTCGTATTCTTTTGATTCTATGTGATTCTTTGCTGACAAATAGTGACTAATAAAATGTGCGTTCAGTCATTTAATATGTCGTGTGGAAAACAATCAACCCAAGTATTTTATTTCATCCTTTCATTTTCAGAGCTTACACTATTATTTATTAATTAATGTAATTTTTGTAGCTTTTTGAATTGTTGTACATAATATTAATCTCTTAAAACTGTAACTACTTATATAAAATGCTTACATAAGTCTAAACTTTAAAATTAAAGAATGTGTCAAATTTCCTCTTTTAAACATTTATATTTATTATCTATAAGTAATTTTATATTACAAAAAATTGTATTTTCTGCACTGTATTATTTGCAATTATCTTTCAGAAGAAGAAAAACCTTCTCCACTCATTGAGAAGTCTGACTCAAAAGGTGCTTCAGCAAGTCTTTATGAAGAAATACAAAGGATTCGACAGTATGATAAAAGTACTGTTGAAGTGCCTCATATAAATGCATCCCTTCCTTCATTACCTGAGCCTCCTCCTTTGCCAGTAGAAACACCAGCACCTTTTCCTAGCTTTCAGCATCTATTACCACCACCTGACAGAGTAACTAAAGATCCACCATTGAAGGGTCTGCATAAACAACAGATTAAATTAACTTTATTGAATAAGGTATGTGTGATATTTCTCATAAATATATGTACCTCAATTCAACTTTCATAAAATTTTGATAATGCTATTTCATCTCCCTTGTTTTTCAAATATGTATAATGCATTGGGAATGAATATCAGGATATCTCTTCAACTAATCTGACAAACCAAGTTTCTCCATCATTGTCAAAATCTGGCTCTTTGCAGATAAATTCTGTTGCTAAATATAAAAGTGTATAAAATAGTATTCTATCCAAAGGTTGTGTTCTCATAGAAATTGCTTTGTCATAATCATTTATTTATCATGCCTTAAAATTGCTGTATGATGCTTGCTTCAGAGTTCTTTATCTCTTCATGATAATCACATGATATCTAAAACTTGAACTCCTCTCAGATTACCAGTATTATTACAACATCCATGTAATACTGATTTGTTTCACATCCTGTGTGCTGGTACATACATGCTTTAAATATCCCTTTAACAGCTTTCTTTATCTCTTTAACCAGGATCAAGAGCAATCACTTCATTTAGTAATCTTTACCTGTACTTACTCTATTGAAGTATAATTTCATCATATTGGTCCTGGTTAAATCAATACTTTCTTCCCTCTGCGTAGCCCATGAGGTTTCCACGGTTTACAAAATTCGTCACGTGAAAATAGCATGCGTAAACTTATTTCTTTTATTTTCAGTATGTATCCCATCTTTTTATCTGTGTAGGCTGAGAATATTGTAATATTTATATTTCACATTTCATTTTGCACTTAGATTACGCTACAGGTTTGTATCATTGAAAGCTAATGCTATTGGTTCTTCACAGCCAAACACTATCGACACTGTTGCTTCTTTTATTGTGGAATAAGAAAATAGTAAATACGCTTAGTTCTTTTCTTGATGCATTATCTGTATCAGTTTATTCAGGGATAGCAAAGGGAAAACTAAAGCCAAAAGAAGTTTGTGATTTTAACTTTACTGTGGGTGGTGTTGACAGATTTGATCAGGAGATGTTGTACTACCCTAGTACCTGAAAACAACTTTGTAAGTATCAATGTTCTAAAGCATCTTTTTACAATTTAGTTCAATATGGCAACGTGTTGACTTGGAGCAAGAAATTCTCTGCAGTTGTAGTTAGTTGTTAATAAGTCTTCAGGAACCAATTGAAATTAACAGATGTCATCTTTTGCATGACTTTCGCTAATGTTCCGTTAGGGAATTGTGATAACTAGCCAGTTCATCTATGGCTTTATTCTTTTTCAGAATTTGGATAATGATAGTCTTCCATACAGCACAAATACCAATTTCTCTGGTTGTAGACTTCCAGAATACCAGCTGTAGTCTTATAACTTAGATGTTTCATAAACTCTAGATAGAAATTAATTAGTCTAGGATTTCTGCCATTCTTAATCTGTTTGATGACTTCCAAAATATCAAAAACCTTGTAGGATTCCCCACTGTGTAATTCTAAGTTACAGTTGAAAGTGAAGAATCTTAAGAACTAGTAAGCGAATAATCGCTTGAGTTCATGAGACAATGAATAAACTTGGAAAGGGAAAAGACCCTTTATTATTCAAACTAAGTTTAACAAAACTTCGTTTTAGAGTAGTACAATAAACCGACACTTGGGCTTGAACTTAAGAGACTAAGAATTAAACTAAACTAATCTTGACTAAAGAGATATAGCCGAAGCTATCAAATTTCTAACAGAGTTGGCCCCTTAAAGCTAATTGACTGCAAAGCTATCAAGGGCCTAAAGTACAGCCGAGCATAATAATAGCTCACAAGAGAGTAGGCTAAAAAAAAGGCAGACGTGTGCAGCCAGAATATCTGGTATCTCTCTCACTAAGACAGTAGAACTTTGCTGTTAAATGCTGCTTCCTCATTAGCATTCAGACGTGATTCTAAAACTATGTTCTGGTCGGAAGTGGTAAGTTGAAATTAAGAAGCGATAGGAAATTAAGTTTAACTCGAAATTTAACTGTTAATAAAATTAACATAATTCTTACAACCTGATGAAAAACTCTCTATCCTGTAAGCATGGTGATTGAAATTGTGATTTTTTTATTTTCAAGGTATTTATTTTGTGTGTCTATGTGTGTAAAAGAAGTTTAAATATTGTCAATAGATTTCTTATTAGTTTTGAATTTATCAGGTGCTTTTATATGGGTGCATCTCGTATTTCATAATGTTATTATAAATGGAAAAGAACTTCTTTCCTTTGCATTATTTGTTTTATGGATTAAGTCAACAAAGACAGCGATACCTTTCCCCTCCCCCGGTTTCCTGAAAATCTTCGGATAATTTTGTTCAACATGTGTAAATGGATCTTTCAGCAAAGTAATGATTTTATTCCAGAAAAGCATATAGTTGTATTGCTTCCCTCTTAAGATAAGTATTAATGATCAGTTCATTAAATCCTGAAAAGTATTTGTCTGTGCTTTTGTACATCTATTCTGTAAAACGGGTAGTTCATTTTATTTCTTTTGTAAATATAATTTATTTAATTTGTACTGATACATTTTTAGGGAACTGTAAGTGGTTTTTTAAATCACTAGGCCATAAAATAAATCAAAATAGTTTTCATTTAGGATGATTTAAGAATTTCGGGCATACATTATCAAATTAGGTCAAGCGTACACTTCTAATAATAGCATAAATATATAGACCCCATAATAGCATAAATATTAGGTGTATACAAACAGTGCTATACGATTAGAGCACTTCTTTTGTTAGCAATAAAGCAAATGTTACAGCATTGAACTAAGATTAAATGAACAAATGTAAAGTACCATTCTTATCATGGTTGCCTTTGTTAACTTTTGTGATAAGGCCAGCGTCAGATTTTAGTGATGGTATTAATGTCTTTGATGTAGTTGTTTAGATTGTTTAGGTTTGAGTAGGGATTGTTCATGTGACCATGGAACATATTGGCTGATTGTGACAGGTGCATTCCAGCTAAGACATTCTACAAGAAAAGCTCTGTTGAGATAATACCATGTAACTGTGGTTAAACCTCATGCAACCTTTCTAGTAAAATTTTCTCCAGAAATGTCTTATGCGTTTCCTTTGATTAAGAAAGGACCTCTACTTTTACCAGTTGTTCTGAGGGGAGGTAAGCAAGAAGTTGGAACTAATTAAAACGTAATCTAATTTTGTCTCCATATAACATTTTAAATGTATATGTTCCCTTCACTATTTGTTTCATTGTTGAATGTGAAGGGGTAATTAAACACGAGAGGAATTCTGAATATAGTTGGACTGTTTGTCAGTCTAGACATTGTCATAACGGAGATATATTGCAGTAAACAGTGCAGTAATGTGTTGCTATCTCATATATTTTGATGTCTCTCAAAATCAAAATTTAAAATACTTCTTTATCTTTTCAGAAGAAAACATAGTTGCATGTGTATGTAAAAAGCAGCCTTTTTTTTTTAATATTGAAAATTCATAATTTTCAGAGCATAAAGCGTATGTTACCTGTACTGCCTGTAAAGGGCCATTTCCACTGAGGTTTATCTGAGCTAATGAAGTCAGTTCCATGTGTCGTCTAGTTCCGCTATGCCTGCATTTCAGATTTTTCAACTTGCTGTCCTATGGGGAGAAAACTAGTTTTGGAGATGGGTCGGCTATGTCGGTTGTCTCCGTTAGCTCAGATAAACCCCAGTGGGAACGGCCCTTAAAGAAAATCTGAGAATGTTACCCCTAATGAAACTTATAATTGTGTGTTTTTATAACATCTTATATATGTGACAAAATTTCTTACGCCTTTTTGCTAAATGCTCTGTAATTAGTTGTAAGCATTTTAATAATTTCATAGATGAACCATTAAATTTTGAATTGTATTAGTATTTTTAATTCTTCAAGCAGCCAAATAATATGTTTGTGCGGAAGGCAAATAATACACATTCAAGTATAGTCCTAGTACACTCAGATAGGCACCTACACATGTATCTTGAAATGTGTTCTGACAATTTATGCAGTAATTGTAAACAAAAAATCCAAGCACAAAGTGGCTCAGGATTTTGGAATTCCAATAAAAATCTCTCTCTTGTAGTGACTTTTGGGCAACTTTGTTTTCAGGGTTAAATTCCTGTCACGTGGATGTTTAATGAATATGTAGATCAGGGGTGCCCAACCTTTTTGTGCATAAGAGCACATTCTAGAATATCTGACGGATGGCAAGCACCATTTATTTTTTCAAGGTGAATTTATCGTTGGATAGAGTTAATAATACATGCAAATGAATAAATAGATTGGTCGCATATTGCTTTGTGCTAGTATCTGTGTTGGATGCAATTTCTTTTTCATTAAAAATGAGGAAAACTTTCACGTAGAATTTTATTGGAAACTAAAACATTTTATTGTAATCACAGAGCGGCTTGCACACGTTACAATTGGCAGGCGCTGGGGGCATAGGGTTGGGAACACCTGATGTAGATTATGTAGGAGATGGGTGATAAAACACGAGTATAGGTATCGAAATTTCAAAACAGCTTATGTACTTCTGGGTAGAACACTAAATGATTTCAGATTTGTTTTTTAAGTTTATGTTTAGATTTTTCAAAATATTAGAAATACTCACTAAAATAGAATTGTAGGCTCTAAATCGGCAATGTAGGTATCAAAGAATAAAATTATTGGTCCTTATCTGGGTCGTTACTAAGGCAGCAAATCTGTTTTATACATCAACCATCAATTTATACTGATGTGTGTTGTATCTGTGTGGCTAGAGTAGTGAGACCAGTCACAGTAACTGCACAGGTGAAAAAAAATTATGAAAAAGATAATAGAATGTTATAAAGGATTACATTTAGAAACAGTAAAGCAATGGTTATTTAAGTTATGACAAAGCTCAATATTCCCTTCAACTCATTTGTACACAAACTGCCTATTGGGAACTTCAGAAAGTCTAATTCATGATCATGCAGGTTAAAGCAAAGCCATCCACCACTCATGTTAAAGGATAATTTCAGTGGTATCAGGCAGGCAAAGCTTGAATGGAACTTAGTGTAAAATGTTGATTATGCAGAGTGAGTTTATTTACCTAGTTGTTCCATTCTGGAGAAGTTATGTATTCAGATTTACTTCGTGTGCTTATGATCTGGATTGCTTTGTGGCCAGTTTAAAGCATGGGTGGTATGCACAGATTGAAATACTAGTTTAGTGTTTGCTCTTGGTAATTATTTCCTTCTCAAAGACATTTAACAGGCCAAATCCACCTAAATGTTAAATTTTTACATCCTGAAAGCCAGGATGAGAGTATACCATTTGACATCACAAAACTGGTGACAGAGTGGCTTGAAGAACATAAAAGTGAACTTTGAACATCGTCCATAATCCTTTGATCTCATTCCCATTCCCACCATTGAGCCTGCCTCTATAATGCTAGAGGACAGAGTAGGAAAACATTTTTCTGCATGAGATGGAATGGTTGCTGTTTTGCAAACAAAATGACTACAGTCTGTGATCTGTTCATTTTCAAAAGAAGACATTTCTCATTAATAAATATTGTTACATTATTTTCTGATACCAATTGTTACATTATTTTCTTCCTTCACGTTCGTACGGGGTTCATGTGGATTTGAAATGAATCGACGACAGCACTTGATGAAGTATCGAAACACACTTTATTTAGCCAATATTAATTAGGACAGCTCCAAAATCATGTTACAGTCGTCAAAGAACTATTATAAACACGCTGGAGCAGTAAGGACACAGCCTTCACACTGTCAGGTTATAGCGGTGGAGACAGCTTCACAGTAAAGCACCAGAGAACAGCTCCCGACTGTCGGTCGTTCTCGGAACTCTAGGTACATAGGTAAGATCCTTTTTGTTGTGTCAAATGAAATGACTGATTTTAAGGACTTTGGGAAAAGAAAAATGTTTATTTATTCAAATTTATTCAATGTAATCTACAAGATCATCAGTGCATTGTCTCTTATATCACATTTAGAAAAATCTGTGTCTGTGGCAGTGACAAAACTTTCCTCAGTGTGACAAGCTGGTGCATTTTTGGCAAAGCATTTCTTGCAAAAAAAAAAAGAAAAAAAAAAAAAAAAAGATGGCTGAAATGCTAAAACTGTATTAATTTGTTTGGGAAGTATCAGGAGAGTATGGAGAATGAGGCAAAATTTTCTGTCCTAACTTGTTGATGTGCTGTATAGATGACATTGTTATATATGTGGTTGAGTATTAACCTAAAGTAGTAGGACTCCATCTATGTTTACAAGTGCTGCTTGCTTAAGGCTCAGTTGTTTTACCTTCAGAATGCAAGGAGTAGTGAAAAAAACAGTAGCTGAAGACTATCCCACAGTAAATAGCATCTTTGGATGTGAAGAAGTTTTAAAGTTTTTTCTTTAATGTCTCATTCTCAACCATTGTGATAAATAAGCATGATTGCCATAGTCTATCCATTTTTAACCTGCAGTTAACCTTTCTTCATTTTTTTTCTCTTGTAAGAAGGAGAAGTATGCTTTCTAATATCATGCTTTTCTTTCGTCCTATTTGTCAAGCAACCTTTTCCTGTTATTACCAGGTGCTTTAAACATTACCAGGTGTGCATTTAATACCTGGGCAGTCTGTTATACAATTTGTGGATCTTATTCAAATAATAATTATTCCTTTCTGCTTGTATGGCAATACTTTCACTGTCATGGCATCGTTTTAATTGCTACAAGATTTTTTTTTTTTTTTTTAATATAGCCTTATATACGGATTGTGAACGGGGAAATTTTTTAAGAAAATATGCATTCAGCTTACACATGAATCGGTTTATATTCAGAAATATATACTGTGTATATAAAAATAACATTGCATGCTGATTTTTTTTTGGCAAAAATATGTCCACACAGTTTTTTAACCCATCAGTCAGTGCCATAATTTATCCAAAAGGTATTTCTCTGTAGAGTTAAGGGAGAAAAGTTCCCACACCAAACTGCAAACTAAAATGCTTGAGTGTAAATTGTTCCGACTGCAATTGTTGTTTATATAATCATTTAAAGCAAGGCACGTGGGGGTGTATATCTGAAAGGAATAATGCCTAATTACCTTTTTAAGGACTGGCTCATATTCACTTAACAGATAAAGAAAACATGCATGCAGCCTCCCTGTTTACAGTGAGTATGGTTTGAGCCTGGATTAAGTTGTCGGTGTTAAATCGTCTAATCGGCCTCTGAAATTTCATTTAGAGGAAAATAGACAAAAATATTGTAACCAATGTTATTTAAATTATTCCACTTTTATCCCATAAAGCATGAAGAATGCAAAAATGTAATGCCTGCAGAACGTACGTGGCGGTTGCATAAAAACCAATGGCAATCCAGTGAAAGCAGTACTTTTTTAAAATTACTGATATCTTATGGTGCTCATTATAGAAATTACAAGTTACGAATATAAAAACTGTAAGGTAAAAATTTAATACTTTTTTTTAATTCAGTAACTTAAATATGCTGTAGTGTAATTTTTATTTCTCATCTGTACTGAATTCCTAATAATTTTTTATGAATTAAGCTAAATTTGAAGTAGTAGTGTAAGTATTCTTATTGGAACTTATTGGAAAGTCCTATTTAGTTTGTTACAGGAAAGTTGTGGCAAAATCTTTTCAGACATTTTTGTGCAAAAATTGTTATTCCGTGAAAAACTACATTCTACAGCCTAATATTGGAAATCTGTTTTTGTTGATGTGGATTGCTAATATTTTTAATGTTTCTTTTCTTATAGCCTGCAGTATCCAAATTAACCAGTTTACCAAAAAAGGAGCTTGATGTTAAAGGGAAGCCAGGTAATAAATCATTGTTTATAGTTTAGCTTATCGCAGATGTGAAGTATTTGTATTGTAGGTTAAAATAATGCATGTTAATTTTTGAAGTCTGCATAACAGTGCTACTTTGAAGTGTTATTGTTACAAATGTAAGGAGATTTAATTAATGTCTGTCTGTTTAAACTGAGATAAAATATATTGTATAAAAGTACTTAAGTTCTTAATTGAATTCTTATTGCAGTTTCTCCAAACAGTAATTACTGTAAATATACTAGTGAGCCTTCAAAAAGGCCCTAAAAAGGATAGCAATTTTTAGAACTTTTGAAAGGATACTCTTTTTTTATTACTTGTGAAATTATAGTTGTAATTTAATATTTCATTAGTGATTTAATCCATTTCATCAGTAATAAGCCATAATGCATTTACTTCACTTTTAGGCCTAACATACTGAATATTCTTTAAAAGTCTATTACATCTTTATGAATATGAAGTTCACAATCTTTTTTTTTTTTGGAAATAAATTCCTGATGAATAATCTTTTAGAATCAGAAAAAGGCAAGATACCAAAATTTATCTGAATCAGATTATGACATGCAAAAATTCAATTCCCTGCCTCAGTAGTCAGTGCATTTACTTAAAAGATATTTAAAGAGACAAGTAATGATTTTTTGACAGTTGTTGAACAACTACTTTTTCGATATTCTGATCCATTCAGAACTGTGAAGCATAGTCACCCCTGGGTCCATCGTAAGCATCTTTACATTTTTCATGAAATCATCTGTACCACCAAAAAACATCAGATCATGCTAATGTTTGAACCTATATGCTTTACGCTACATCCCAAATGTCTCCTCTACTGTTTCTAAATTTGCTGCAAAACATTATTGCTGTTCTTTGCTGAGATTTTAAATCCATGATTTAAGATGTTTACTAGATCAAGACAAGCATTTAACTGCATTTTCAATTATTTCTTAAAATTTGTTTATCTGAGGATGGTATAGTTTCTTTCTCCAAAGTAAGCACTGTAGTGGTTCCCTGGATCAACAGATTTTGAAAAGTATTTGTGCAGAACTGAAAAGATATTTTATGATTTCTTCCCTTCTGTATACATTTTTGTATTTTATTAAAAAAGTAAATGTATTTTTAATGTTATAACAACAAAAATAGGAAAGGTTTCAGATTTTAAATTATGTAATTATTTAAATATGTATTTGTGCTGCACTAATGTTAAAAAATATTTATTTTTTCAGAGGAATTGTGTAAAACAGCATTTGGTGTTCATTCCGGAATTAAGCGACCTGTATCTCCATCTTTTGGTATAGGTGGAAAAACTGGACCTACTCTTATACCCAAAAAGTCTGCTAGTTCACGCAGAGATGAACTGTTAAAACAATTAAAAGCAGTTGAAGATGCCATTGCCAGGAAAAGAGCAAAGTTTTGTTGAAAAAGTATTTTTTGTATATGACTATATATATGTTCGGGCTGACTGACTGGGATGTGAAAGATTTTCATACAGTATTTCTGGACACATAAGGAATCAACATGTGCAGTGTTACATAATACATTAGTAGGGAAGTGTAAGCTGTTGTGCTGCTCAGTTAACTTTTCCTGAAGAGGCACAAATGTGCATATCTGTTAAGTAGTGTTTTACAACTGTCAGTCCTTAATCTGTGGAAAAAAAAATTTTCTGCATTTCTATGTCAATTTTTCTAAAAAAGGTTGCATTGTGTTTTCATCGGTGTGGTACTTATATTGTAGGGATGGAACAGCATCACTGTTTGCAAAATGCTTTATGTGTTAATCAGATTTCATTATTTTCCAAAATTATCACCAAAACTGATTTTGTGCCATCCCCTTAGACAGATTACTGAACTGCTCTTAATGTTTAGTCTTCCATTTATTTTCTTTTTTGTGAGTTTTGAAAAAACTCAAATTAACTCGTAGGTGATTTTATAACAAATAATTATATTAATTTGGACAAAATATGATTATAAAAAAAACTTTGCGTGATTTAAACTTTTATAAAAGTTTATATTATTTAATGTGTATTTATTAACCTTCAAGCTGCGCGTGTTTATGGATCTGTCATAAAGACCTGTATTAGCTTAAATTTGTATATTTATTTTAGCCTCTATTTTTCTTAAGCTTACATTAATTAATGACATTTATATTATTAAAAAAAGTATCTTAAATTATAAGCTAATATATACCTAGTGACAAAAAAATCATATGACCTTGTAAAGCTGGTCATGGTGCTCAGTGGGTTAATTGTGCTAGAGAATTTGTTTTTTAACTTCTAACCCAATTATAGAGAATCCCTGCATTTAGTTTCAAATATTAATGTAAGTTATGCTTCTGCTACAAGGTTTCTGGCATATAATAATATCATATACACATAAAAAAATCTATCAGGAATCTATCATGTTCATTTAAATTCTTCGTCCCTTCTTTTGTACATAAAAGAGTTTGATGTTTCATTATATGTAGATTTTTCTTACATATAAATCATTGCATGTGTGATCTATATTGTTTATATAGTGACCTAATGTGGATCATGAAATTTCATTTGGAGTAGAGTAGAATTTAAAAAAATATGCAAAGCGAATGCATATGCCATAGTATACTGATTAATGCAGATACAAATTCAATTCACTATATTTCTTTGTTTTTCTGTAATCATTGGCATTATAGACATTATTAGATTTTTATTCACAATTTGTATGTACTCTTATCACAGGATACATTGGATTACTTCATGTTGTTTAAATCATGAGAAATTTTACTGAAGTAAAATGAAAGAATTAGCTTTTGAAAGTATGCAACAAAAGGAAGTGTTTTAATATTGTCTTTATAATGCATTTTTATTTAAATTAAAAGTATTGTTTCCTATACAGGATCTATAAATCAATTGAATGGTTCAGCAGTCATTATGTCAAATTTTCAGTATTAATCACAATCAATAATAATAAAATTAATTAACTATCCACATATCACAATTTACTGATCTACATGTCTCACATCTGTCTGTCCATGCGAACACACACAATAGAATTAACACCCTCTGGCATGGAGCAGATTTGGGAGTTTACACATCAGCTTTAAAATATTCAGATAATAAAATTTTACTAAACTAAATACTAATAATTCAAATTATTAAAATATGTAAAATAAAGGAAACATAATTCAAGTTCATATTAGTTACAGTTCTTGAAAGGCCATGTCATTACTTTGTTGATAACTTAACTGAAGAAAACCTGTAGCCATCTTGGCAACTCTCTCAATTTCATCACTACCAAGACACACTTCTTGGGTGTGACCCAACGACTATTTCAAAAGATTAAAGTTGCATTTCTTCAATAGTTCCAGTTGGCTGACCTTAAAATTGGATTGTAAAATTTGCCATTTAGCACAAGTTGATTTGACTTAAATATTCTGAATGCCATCAGTTCTAAAAATTTAGCTTGGAATTTGTGAATCAGTTCCCACCTGGAAGAAAAAGAGAATCCGAAGCAGTATGTGCTTCAGGAAAAGATAACATTGTTATATAAATAAATTGAATTATACCTTCATCACAGGGATAACAAGGTTTATGAGAGAATGGAAAGGTAAGCATTCATACAGCAGTGATCAACATTACTACTGAAGAACATATAATTGAAGTTCAGAGCTTAAAGTTAACAGATTGCCCCGAAACATAGATGACATCATTTAACACTCTGAGAGGCAAACACAACTTAATAAAGGAAAAGAAATCACATTAATCATTGCATCTTGAGACATTTAGAGATATAAAATAACAACACCCCTCCTCAATGATTAATCTTTAATAAAACAAAATAACTTACCTTAAGATGCACAAAAACAATAAATCAATATATAACATGAAATTAACACCTTTAACATAAATTTGCCTGAAGGATTTTAGTTAGTATATAAGGTATTTCTTTCGCCTTCGTGGTGTAGTGCTCAGCACACTGAGCCAGTGTTTCAGAGGTCCATGGTTCAATTCCCGGCAAAGGCGTTGCATATTTTTCATCTCTCTTGCTCCAAATTCCTAATGTCCCTACAAGTTTGTCTTAATGGCTATCCTGTTGGACTTTTATATTCCTCAGCTTTACTGTAAGCTTTTGCATCTTTCCTTTGCTTATAACATCCTGGATCAATAGGAAACGTAGATATTTTACAATCATTCATGTGATACTGTTTCAGCTTTCTCGAAATGTAGCCTGACTGGTCTAGGTAGAAGATTCCCTCGTCATCATGTTGAAAATGCATGCCTAAATAGTAATGACGATTTCCCAAATTTTTCACTGAGAAATGTTCACCAATTTCGCTTTTAAAATTTTCAAGTGAATCTTCTGTGCTTGCTTCAACCAAGGAGGTAGGAAGTTAGATGGAGTGGCCCTAACTGGTTTGCCCCATACCCTGCTTTGAAGCACTGACAATCCCTGCGTAGTGACCAAAACATTGGGTCATTTACCATTAAGTTTAATGGGTTTTGACACAATTGGATGTATAATTTTGTTTTTCTACTATACTTCAGAGCCCTAAGTATATGAAAAGAATACATTTTTAAACAATATTTCATTCTGAACAGAATTAAATGCTATACTTTTCACAGAACTGTTTTCTCAGAATCGTTTAATTTGAGTGATATATTTTCACAAGGTTTTGTTAATTACATTGGAAAAAATTTTAAGGTAATCCGATTTTATTAAGTATTGCAAAAATTAAGATCAGAGTCTATTGTATTATTAATATTAAAATTATGTATTATTTCTTTTCTATTTATAGACCTTCTTCCTAAAATACTTTCTCAAATATGACTTGATTTTTTAGCTTCTGAGGCATCTTTTAAATCAAAAAATAAAAGTCAATTTATAATTAATGCTCTATTCAGTCCATTTCAAATTAGAGCACCTTTTAATAGTGAAAAACTTTAAATAATACTTAACTATTTCTGAAAGGGAATAAAATAAGGATTATTTTTTTAATATTATTTAAAACTTGTAACTGCATTATTATAAAATGTAAGGGGAATAATTCTTTTAATTTTACTTATCGGATTTTTTTACCCTTAATTTCAACAATACATATTCCAAAACTCCTCTTTATTACTTTCTTAAATAGGCAGCTCATAGGAATTGCTTTACAATACCTTTTAACAGATTGATTTCCACTGTGAACAATTCTTGCTTAAATAGTTTTATAACATATTTGTCAACAGGATTTCAATTCATGTTTACAATACTATGTTGAGGTTATTATATATTTAAATAATATTTATAATAATTATAAATTTAGATACATTTAATAATTAGATTTGTTTATAAATGAATAAATACGTATTTTGTTAAAGGCTTTTTGCAAGCACATGTAAAGATACATGCTTCTTACAAGCACATGCATATTTGATATTTTTCATTTCCGGCATGTCTTACGGCACTAATTTTAAAAAGTGCGTCTTAGAATATGTGGATGTGAAAAAAATGTATTTTATTCAAAATATTTTGGCATTTGGAACATAAAATAAAAGTAGCGAATGCTCTATCAATGCTATAGAAAGATATATACAATTTTAAAGGTACCGTAAGGTATTTTTCATTCTTTAAGCATAATATTTTTACTAAAATCTGTATTTTTGTAGTTCAACAGCTTAGAATTTTATAAAACAAATTTATAATCAAAATTGCTGTTGTTAGTTATCGAGAAATAACCAAGATGTGATTTTTGCAGAAGTGTCCCGTTTTTTGATTTGTATGGAACTGTTGTGTGTCTAAATACTATCAGAGCGCTGTCAAGCCAGCTTCTGAATGTAAACAAAAAAAACACCCCATCTAGTGACCGAAACTTCAGTGCAGTGCTTCACTTGTACTGCCAGTTTGTCCACTCCTTCCTTTCTTACCTCCATGTCTGCAACAACCATATCATCCACATGTACAGTGATGTATACAAACCCTTCTTTATCCTGTCTTGTATATAAACAAGGGTCATTTTGACTTCATTCAATTCCTTTGCGTAAGAGAATTTCATCAAGTTTTGTGTTCCATTCATTCGTGCTTGAGTCCATTATAAGTTATTTACTAGTTTACAAACTTTATCTCCTTCTTCAAATCTGGGGAGTTGTTTCATGTATATACCATGAGATAGATCTCCATATAAGTATGCTGATTCGATATCATAATGTCTTACTGCCATTTTTCTTTTTCCTGCTATGGTAAGAAGCATTCTTAAAGTAGTTGGCTTGACTACCGAAGCAAATACTTCATCATAGTCATGACCATATTTCTGCTGGTATCCTTAAGCAACCAGCCTAGCTTTATAACAAAATACTTTTCCTTCGCAATCTCTTTTGGACTTGTATACTCATTTGCAGCGTATAATGATTTTCCCTTCAGGTGTACATCTACAAATCCATGTGCCATTTGTCTTTAAAGCATTAATCTCTTCTTGCATGGCTTGTTTCCATTTTTCCTTATTGGCACCCGAACAAGCTTCTTAATATGATGTTGGATCTGCTACTTGCTCTGACTGTGGTGAGAATGAACTAATATTCTATCTCGCAGGAGGTACACATTTGTTTTGTCTAGGAGTTCGCCTCAGGTCTGTGTTTTCAGAGATATACTCCTTTACTGAATTACCTTTAAAAATAGTTAGATCTTCTGTATCTTCCTGCTTATCCTTAGGATGGGGATCATTTGGTATAAATGTCACATCATGACTACCGTAATTTCCGGAAGAAAGGCCGCATCAGCGTAAACGGCGCACTTGAGAAAAATGGCGGGAAAAAAATTAAAATTACACAGAAACGCCGCAATAGATTAAATTGCATGTGACATCGTGGGCCGTATAGTTGCAAAAACTCAACCTAAGTTCTGATATATGACATACCAGTTAAGAAAAATGCATGAAATGAAACCATAACTCAAAAATAAATTAAAGGTAAGAAATGTATAGCTTCTGTGCCGTTTAGAGACATTTTCAAAAATTTTCCGCTCCCTTCTAACTTAAAAACTATTCAACAAGTACTTGTACCCAAACTGATGGGATCTGTATTTGGCAGAATGCCAAGAAAAATCCATTCATGCTGAAGGGGAAATACGTCAGAGTTCGTTATTGCGAGGCAGGTCGTAACCATCGGATGGTTACGGGCAGGTGGAGTCATGTCCGCCTTTGAAAAACATTGCAGAAAAGGCAGGGGTGGGGAGAGGATGGGTCCTGGAAGATTCATCGAATAGCAAAGAGAGACTATTTAAACTGATGAGAATGTTGATTTGAAAGGGGGAAGAATGTTATTGTTCTGAGATCTTGTTTAGGGTGAATAAGGCATGTAGGTCCGTTCAAGGGAAAGAATGTAAACAAAATAACGTTCGCAAAAAGCAACTGAGTGGTCTTTTGTGTGGGAATAGCACCAGTCTATGCACAATGACAAGGCCATCCAAACTATGTACAATGACCATCGTAGGAAATATTTTATTTTTAGTGCACCTAAACGCCGCACCTGCTGAAAATTTAAGTTTTAAACACGTAAATGCCGCGGCGTTTCTTCCGGAAATTATGGTGCAATACTGTCGGTATTTGAATCTAGCAAACGATAACCTTTTGTTCCTTCTTCATACCCAACCATGATTCATTTAACAGACGTGTCATCAAATTTTTGTCTCTTCTGTTTTGGTATATGCACGTATGCTGGAGTACTGAATGCTTGTATATCTGCTAATAATGATTTCCTTTTATGCCATTTTTCATAAGGTAGTTCTCTCATAGGCAACCTATTTTGCGGCTAGTTTGCTGTAATAACACCTTCACCCCCAGCACTTGTTTGGAAGATCAGAGCTTTTTAGCGTCGCTTTTGTCATCTCATTTAATGTACGATTCTTTCTTTCAGCGA